AGCGCATCTGCGTTTCCTGTAAATTGTTTACTACTTATAATCCATCCCTATTTCTATACATAACTGCCTTTTGCTCGGTGTTGTTTGTATGGTTAATGATATAGCGTGAAATGTCTGGTTGAGAGTTTAAGTTAGAAATTTGAAGTTGTTGTTTGAACTTTGAAGCTGCATAAATTCAAGCTCTGTTAGGCGTTAGCTACAGGCCAAACATTTCTGTGTATTCTGCTCACTTATGGATTAATCATTTTGAAATATGTATCCTTAACTCACTTTGAATATAGACTGGAATTTCCTATTCTGAATTTGTATGCTAGGCGTTAACATACATATGTATGTCTGGACTCATGTAATGTAGTCTGCTTTGGGATTTAATGGTAGGCGTTAACATACATGTATGTCTGGACTCATATGTAGTCTGCTTTGGGAAGTAATCTAGCCTACAACGTATTCTACGTTTTTCACTCTACAACACATGACACACTACATCATTCTTATGTAGGCGTTAGCATACATGTTTGTCGGGACTCAATGTGTAATTTTCTATTATGAATTTGTATGCTAGGCGGTCAACAAACAATTAATGCAAGCAATATAGATTTAATTAGGCCGATAAACCGCCCGATAACCGCCCGATAAGAGCTAAACCGATACCAATCCGTCCGATATCTTATCGGGTGGCTAACGGATTAATACATTTAAAAGTCGATAACCGTTAAGCCAAACCGTTAAGAGTAATTAACCGCCCAATCCGCCCGATAAGCAGCCCTAAAATAAGTAGTGAAACCAGCTGAAAACCAGTCCAAACAACCACTAAAAGCTCCCATCAACACCACACTTAAACTAGCTAAAACAACATTGTTTCACGCCATAACCCATCCCAGAACATCTCACACAAACACGCCCATAGGTTCTCGAAACAATAAGGTTTTCCATCGAATTTGTCGTCGAGAAGCTCTCGTTCGAGGTTTCGGTCTAAAGTCGATTTTGGGTCTAGGATCTGTGATGAGTAGTCGTTGTATGAATTTTGCTGGAAACTTTGTTCAATGGAAAATCGTTGCTTCAGTTGAGGTCCATTCTAAATTTTCTTTACTGTGGATTAGTTGAATATTATGTTTGTTTGCTTCTGATAAATCATTTAATTGCTTTATTTTAGTTAAAAATCTTGAATGCTTGTTTGAATTGTTGAACTATATGAAGCCATGAAATGTGATACTCTCATTAGTGTCAGTGGGCATTAATTGTTAGCTACTGGGTTTGGGCTCAGGATAAATAGAATGGATATGGTTTTTTTTTTTTTTTGAAATTTGTGTTATGGGCTTTCAATGCCAAATTTGTGATTTAGCTAGCATTTGGTCATAGATTCCCAAATTTATTCTGAAAAATATGATTTGAGTGAAGTTTGATTTGAAGATGAAAATGTGTTTCGACATCTGTTTTGAGTGAAGTATGGTTTGAAAAAACATGAAACATGACTTATACCCATAAGTTCTAAAAACTATCATAAATACCCAACAGTACCATTATCAATAACATTCATTATAATATCGCAAACCATAGTCCTGAACATAAATAAATTTGATACAAAATTATCATTTTTATAATGAACTACATGATACACTATCAGATGACCGAGAAGACGAAGCAATATCGTTACAAAATAATAAATGGTGGGCTCTTTTATAAAATATAAAAATTTGGGGCAATTTTAAAAAAATATAATAGTGATATTTTGGCCCAAAACTAACTATTGAACTGGTTTTGGGATTTGGGATTTGAGATTTGGGATTTGGCCAAAATATAGGCAAAATCTATGGCCAAACATGTGTTTGCCAAATAGAACACAAGTTTATTTTAGTAAAATCTATGGCCAAACGGGTTCTTAATTGCTTCAAGTTGAGTAGGTGTGCCATATTTTGTCCGGTAAAAAGGGAAGATTATGTAAAGTTTTCATAATCTTACAACACTGACATTGGTTCAAAATTGATAAAACAACCAGAATTCTGATTTACATTGGCCATTACAGCGCCAATAATTAGTTCATTGTTAACAGTGAGGCATGGTCCGGTGAAGATCATATCTCTATCTGGCCATGCTTTAGTTATCAAGTTCGAGGGTGGAATCAAAGCAAAATTTTTGAGAAGGATCAGCCTTTCACCCTTCTATGAATGACATGCCTTTGGCATAATTTCGGATGAAAAACATATCACATGATGTTAATAGGTACTGCTGGTAATTTCACAAAATCCCTAGTGGCAAATCCTCTTAGCCACTTATGCATTCGGCAAGTTCATTTCGTAAGGTTGCCGTATTAAGTGAACATATACAATAAGGTTTTGATTGTAGCTACTGACTACATGATCTCTGTTTTTCTATCAATTCTTTTGCAACCATGTTATTTCGCGAGTGCTTTCTTTGGCTGACGAATGGGGTTGAATAGAATTTTGGAAAAGAAATAAAAGAAACAGTGACTAGGCATCCAAAGGAAAAAGTGATTATACATGACATGTGTGCTTGGCCATCCTAATGTCTCAGAATTAAGTGTTGGGATGTCCAAGAAATGGGGAGTTGAAGTGGTTATTATAAGCAATAACACAGAAGGGAGTAGGGATATGGTTCATACATGCAAGAAGTCGGGAATTTCCGCTAGTGTCCTTTATGAGATTCTTGAGTTCATTTGTTATTGTACGAAAACTCCTAAAGACTCGTTATTTGTATTTTCTTCTATTTATAGTTGAAAACTTCTCTCTTTAGTATGTAATCTTTGCCATAGATACTACTCCTCCCGTTTCTTTTTAACTTGTACGCCATATACTCAAAAACAAATCCTGTTTACTTGTCCACTTTAGCTAGTCGGGTAGAATTAATTATTTTTTCCAACTTTACCCTTCTCATTAAGTAATTAATTTTTTAATTGCGTGCTTTACATTACAAATTTTGAGGGTAAAATCGAAACTAGAATTTTTAGGAAGGATTAGCCCTTCACCCTTCTCTGAATAGCATGGCATTGGAATAATTTTGGATGGGGAAAATCATGATGTTGATGATTTCACGAAATCTCTAGTGGGAAATCCTCCTAGAAATTGGAGTTTTTCTACTACTATGTTTTCCATTAGCAACATTCTTGCTTTGATATCGAAGTAAAACATGCCTGCGAGTGATTTTATTTCCCACAATGAATTGTTTAGGATAATCTTGGGATCCTATCCAGTCAAGAATATGGTTACGTCCTTACTTCGAGCACTTGGTGGAATTCGTAACAGCTTTCCAATTTCTATAGCATAGCTCGTTTATGCTTTAATCTTGACGGAGTGAAAGAGACTACACATCTCCAGCAATTATTTTTGTTACTTTTATAATTCTTTCACTTCTCTGCATATCTTCATATGCTGCATTCTATTTTATCTATCATTTTCATTACAATTTTCTTAAGAGGGCTCATTATTTCCTTGGACGGGCAGCATTAGTGCTTCTTTGGGTTTTCATAACCTTGACGATTGCTATATTATCCTGAAACCAAATCTTACAACAATGATATTGGTTCAAAATTGATAAAACAACCAGAATTCTGGTTTACATTGGCCATTACAACGCCAATAATCATTTCATGATTAACAATGAGGCATGGTCTAGTGAAGATCACATCTCTATCGGGCCATGCTTTAGTTATCAAGTTCGGGGACCTGTAATATGGCTAAATTTTCATGACATTTGCCATGACATAATATCCATTATTAGATCAAGGATTTCTTGCTATAAATAGAGGAGTTTCTCCTCATTTGCAAACACACCAATTCAAGAGTTTTTCACTCTTGTCTTTCTTTCTTCTCCTTTATTTCATTATAGAGTATTTTGTAAGAGAATGAGTGTTGAAAAATACTTGTGTGAACCCTTTCTTTGGAATGATCTTGTGAGGTTATTCTCTTGGGGTATTTGGGACTAATTAGAGTATTTATTCTAATTTTATACTCTTGTTGGTATAGTGAAATTGTTCCTCTCCGCTTGTGGACGTAGGTCACCTTGACCGAATCACGTTAAATTTGTGTCTTCTTTATATTTTTTAATTGCCGTTATTATCAACTTCCATTGTCTTTGTTATTGTCATTATACTATTGTTTGGCTAAATTTCAGAATGTGGCAATTAAAGATGGAAGCTATCCTAATTCAGGATGGCTTAGATTTGGCACTGCAAGGAAAAGAAAAGATGCTGGATAAAATGACGGACGAGGAGTTTTGCTATCATAGAAAAAAAGGCAAAAGCATGTATTATTTTAAATCTTTCAAATGAGGTTTTGCTTGAAGTTGCAGCCGAAAGCTCAGCCAAAGGCATATGGGAAAAGCTTAAAACCATATATATGAAAAGAACAGTAGAAAACATGCTTTACTTAAAGCAAAAATTCTACACTTTTCGTATGGCTGAAGGTACTTCTATACTTACACATCTTGATACTTTTAGTTTTTTTCTTATGGATTTAAGTAACATAGATGCTGAAATCAAAGATGAGGATCAAGCTGTGTTATTGCTTGTTTCCTTACCCCAGTCATTTAAACATATAAGAGATACTATGCTTTATGGAAAGGATAATATCTCTTATAAAGATATCAAATCTATTTTAAAATCAAAAAAATAAATAGATAGAGATATTACTAGAAAAACTAGTGGGAACCAAGGGGAAGGCTTATTCATAAGAGGTAGATCCAATAAGAAAGATTCAAGTAGTGAGAAACCTAAATCAAGGTCAAAATCCAGATACAGAAATGTCATGTGCAAATATTGTCATAAGAAAGGTCACATTATTTTTATACCTATTATTATATGTTGATGACATGCTCATTGTTGCTAAGGATTTAACAGAAATTCACAACTTGAAAAGTCAGCTGGAAAGTGAAATTGAGATGAAAGATTTGGGAGCAGCTAAGAAAATCCTTGGCATGGAGATCAAAAAATCGAAAAGCCAACAGGCAATTTCTGACCCAGAAGAAGTACTTGGAGAAAGTCTTGGAGAGGTTTGGCATGAAAGGTGCTAAACCAGTTAGTACCCTTCTTGCTGCTCATTTTAAGTTATCAGCTGCTCAGTCCAAGTTATCAGCTGCTCAGTCCCCGCAGTCAGAGGTAGAAGAGAGGTATATGGCACAGGTTCCTTATTCCAGTGCAGTCGGCAGTATTATGTATGCAATGGTTTGTACACGTCCAGACATTTCACAAGCAATGAGCGTGGTAAGTCGGTATATGGCTTGCCATGGTTGTCACGATCCAATTTCACCTATAGGTCGTGATGGCGCCCAATACTACAGCTAGGCAAGCCAATTAATAAGTCAAACGTACATTGGTTAAACTTTTATTCCAAGAAAATAATAAAATACCAACTTCTACCAATGTGTGTGCCAAGACACGGTGTCACAAGTGCATGAGCATCTAGTAGATTATACAAAACTCCAAATACTGTCTGAAATGAAATAGACAGAATATAAATATAAGAAGATACATTGGTAGCTGCAGAACGGCTCAGAAAGGCAACTCACCACTATGCTTCGGGATGACGTGGGTATGTGATGATAGGTTCTCCACTAGTACATGTCTCATATCCTGCACAAAAAGTGCAGCAAGTGTATTATGAGTACGTAGACAACGTGTACCCAGTAAGTATCAAGCCTAATCTCGAAGTGGTAGAGACGAGATGGCCGACTTTGACACTCACTATGGGTCAATAATAATAACTGAAATATAACTAGAATATTTAAATCAGGATGGTTTACAGAATTTACAATAATTTATTTAATCAGCAGAAATAATCAAATTCCTTCAAATGTAACAATTCTCAATATATTAATTAAATTCCTTCAATTCAGAAAAATTCCAATTTATCAATCAAATCTGATTTACAGGAGTAACAATTAATTCCATAAACAAGCAAGAATAATAATTCATTAAATTTCAAGGATTTTTCTAAATAATTAATTAGCTTCTCAAGCTGAAATAAATTATTAAAGTATTGTGTAATTATTATTATTAAGCACGATTTCTGCCGAGGACGTAAGGCCCGATCCAGAGTGTCGTGTACACTGCCGAGGGACGTGCGACGCGATCCATAGATGCATCTATCCTGCCGAGGCGTTCGGCCCGCTCCACAAGAAAGGAGGATATTTTTCTGATGTGCCTCCGGAAGGAGAGTGTATTTATTATAAGATGAATTTGGGAGGAGAATAATTTCTTTTAACAATTAATTGATTAAAACAGATAATCAAGCCTATGAGATTTTCATCCTTTAATATCTTTATTTAACAATTCGCAATATATTCATATAGATATCAATTAATATAAATAAATCAAAGAATATAATTTACACAAGTAAGGCATGCTCTGTGTTCTAAACTACTCGGACATTAGCATTATTAGTAGCTACGCACGGATTCGCGTCACCACGTGCGTACGTAGCCCCCACACAATTAGCAGCAATTATTTAATTTTAATCACCTATGAGGTAATTTCTCCCACACAAGGTTAGACAAGAGACTTACCTCGTCTTGCTCCAATTTAATCCACAATTTTGCCTTTTCCACGATTATCCAACTCTGTCTAGCTCGAATCTAGCCAAAATAATTCGATACAATCATTAAAATTATAGGAAATAAATTCTATAAGGAAATACTACATTTTTAATAAAATTCGAAATTAATTAAAAATTCGCCCGCGGGGACCACATCTCAGAATCCGGCGAAAGTTATGAAATCCGACAACCCATTCAATTACGAATCCAACCATACCAGTTTCACTCAAATCCGACTCCGAATCGATACCGAAATCTGAAAATTTCATTTCTATGAGATTTCTAAACTTTCCCAAATCTCAAATCTCAAAACACTAATTAAATTGTGAAAAACAATGATACACTTGTATA